TGCAACGATGACACATCCATCACCCTATGGCACTAGAATGGTGGTGCAGATTCATAGATCTCTGCCACATGGATCCTCATGATTTTTACATAAACATCCCCCAGTTCCACCATCTTATCACTAACTTCCATGCCTAAGGTAAAAGCCTTACACTATATGGCATTGTTGAGGTGCAAAAATTTAGATGCAAGATGTTCATGTAGATGAGGTACAGATGTTTAGACAGGCCTCAAAAAGCATTGGCAAATCACAATTTACATCTGTGCTGCAGACTATTATATACAGTTTATAATTTAGCTGTTTGTGGGACTAGTGTGTCATAAACGTATCAGTTTGAAGCACAGGTCCTCATGATTTTTACATGAAGACACACCAAGCCCACCATCCAATCACTGTTCACATCCATACCCATGATGTAGATCATAAAAATAATAAATGAAAGTGCAACATGAACCATTATTTTTACATGCAAAAACCTCAAATCCAAACTATCAGTAGTTATAAAATAAGTGTTATGGGAATAATAGGCCAACTCAAGGTCACCAAAAATATACAAACTTCTGAGAGCTCTATTTTTTTTTTAAATCAGGCAAGATGTTATAAAGAAGAATGATGATACAATAAGAGAAACAACAAAAGGTTGACCTGACACTGAAGACATGAAGTTTACATGCGCAGAGTCTTGCAATGAAATGGGGGAAGAGGCTCCAGATTTTAAAATACGTTTTATTCATTTATTCAATTCTGTTTTTAATTCACACAATAACAAATGTTCTTTAGATGGATTACAAGCACTACATCCCCCCACAAAAAAGCTAAATGCCTTGATGAAAGACTTACCTTTTATCCAAGGTTATGCCTGATGTGGAGAATACTGAGAAGGAAATATTTTTCTCTGATAATACTAGAAACTCAGGTCATCCCATGAACCTTATTGGTGGGAAATTCAGGACAAATAAAAGGAAGTACTTCTTTGCACAGTACATAATTAAATTATGGATTTGACCACCACTGGAAGTGGTGATGGCCACGAATTTGGATGGATTTAGAAGGGGTTTGGAAAAATTCCAGGAGAAGGCTTTCAGTAGCTACTAGCCTTGTTGGCTGTGTGCTGTCTCTGTTTATCAGAGGTGAAATGTCTGCATGCACCAGTTGCTGAGGAGCTTGGACAGACAGACCTCTGCTACCCATCCTGCATGAGGGAACCTGTGGGCAGCTGGTCTGCCGCCAAGTGAATGAAGTTCTAGACTGGATGGACCACTGGTGTGATCCAGCATGGCTTCTCTTGTGCTCTTATGTTTTCCTTTCCTCCATTTCTTTTGCCTTGTATGTCAATGTCTTTTCAGATTGTAAACATCAGGGGCAGGGACCGCCTTGTTTGACTGATGATATGTAAGCAGCTCTAGAAGACCTTTTGCCTGAGCAGAAGGATAAAGATATTGTAAGCAAACAGATGCATAGAAAAGAGAAAATTAGAATACAATGTAATGAACAGCACAGGAATAAATGTAGGATATATAAAGTCAGTAATAAAAAATAAAGAACTACCTCTGGTAATGACTTCAAGTTGCATCTGGGATTGATCTGAGGATTGCCAAGATGAAGCAACATGCCAACAATGATTGATCAGGTATGAAAGTGTAAAATCCAGTCACATCCTTTGGTGAAACATTACTGGTCTCTTTGTCAGTAGAAAAGAGAAACAGAACAAATGTTACAGTTTTTATATTCACATAGCTGGATAAAATTTAAGGTGCTGTACTAGGTACAAAAAGTCAATAGAAGTCAGATTGATAATTTATCTAGTAGCTGGAAGAGATAAACCTTCAGAAAACAGTCTCTCCTACCATGATCCCAGACTGAAAGGTTCCAAATCACACAAACAGCGAAGCTATCCATGTTGGCCATAAGAAAAATTCTGAAATCCCTGTTAGAGGATATTTTAATTAAGCCAAATCATGGAAAAAATCTCCAGGTCTTTTCATATGGCATGATGTTTCAAGTAATGAAAGGGGAACAATGGGTGGTGGTGGGAGGAGGTGATTCTAATGTGTTTCTTTTGGCATCCAGCAACATAAAAGAGTGGTCACAGTACAGAGCTTCATATATTTTCTTTGCATTTTAACACAAGCTTCTTAAACATGTATGATGTCTGCATATTACAATTTTATACTGTTAATCTCTGCTACAGTACATTGGATTGCCTGAGTACTGTGAAAATCCACATCAAGGTGATACTATACCTGCATTGTTTTTTCTTTCAGATATTAGATTTATTTTCCACATGCATGGACACATGCCCACATAAATGTGCTATCTCCCTGTTTAAATTCATGTCCTCTAAACAACTTATCTGTTTTCTAAATACAACTCATCCTCTTGTAAAAATGATGGGGATCCATACCTCAGATCTACACTTGGCACCATGGTGGCAACACAGAACAATGAATCCATTATTTTTATGGCAGAGTTTGCTATAGAAGATTTAACTGTGGTTTAAGAGTGTTCAGTACCCAGTTTTTTGCAATGACATGATGCATCAGATCTTTGATTTTTACTGTGTTATCACATAGGCATAGATTTCACAAGTTTCATTGTGTGTTTTGAGGGCATTCTATGCAACCCCCAAGGACCTATGAGGATTTGTACCTTGGATTCAGGGTTTTGGACCATGGTTGTGTGATGTTTATGTTGCCATACATGAGACAGAAGTAAAGTGTAATTGTGGAACTGGGAGTGGTGGTGGTGAAGAAAAATACATACAAAAATCAAGAGAATCTATGATGATCAGGCCTTGCAAACAGCAGTGGTGCTCACTGCCCGCCCGCTCATGGTTGCAGTCATTGGAGGCTGCCTGTGGCCCAGTAGTTAACTCCTAGTGGAGTTCAGAGCCTTATGTGCTCACATTCGGTGGTGCATTTAAGGACAGATGGGCATGATTAATGTGGCAGCATAAGCAAGTTTGGGCATGCAGGCCTGAAACTCTGAGCAAAGCTCCAGGCCTATAGTCCTGAACTTGCTTGTGCGGTCAGATTAATTTTGCCACCTTCACCCTTCAAAGGTAAATCTGGGGCAGATGAGTGATAATAAAAGTAGCAAAATTGGGTATGCCAGCTTGAGGTTTTCCCAGCATTACTACTGTAGACAAGCAGGCAGACGGGTAAGCAAACAAGAGTGTGAGTTATGTGTGTGTGGGAATACCAATATGTCAAGGGTCATTAAAACCACATACAACATAATGGATCACTGGATCTGAGATTTTTAAGGTGCAGTATGTGTGTTCAGTCATTTGATGGCAGATTGTGGAGGTATTATGTGCAAAAACCACTGCACATCTATAAGGATTGATGTCTTGAATCTGTTTTCTTTAAACAAGGTCTAACAACCCCCCCCCGCCCCCCAAGAAACTTGTGATTTTGGAATAAGCAAATTGTCACAGAAAAGTGAGCAAGCTTTCATCTTCTCCGGGATTCTTCATTTGGCTGAATGTTATATAGTGTCATAAAGTGGGATAATTTTGCTGTTCTGCAGTGGTTATTTTGTATTTTGCACAGATCTCTCTCTTTACACAAACACATGGAAATTTCAAACAGCTGCCTGTGGGAGCCAACTTTTCTGTCATTGCACAATGTCTTATTGACTCGGATTACTGAACTCCTGCCATGTCATCAGCAGGGTCCCGGTCAAAGGAGGCAAGATACCACATGCATTTGTCTAGATGTGCAAAATGTGATGCTAGATGTAAAGTTCCGCATTTCGATATTATATCCTCCTCGATTTTCGGCAGTAGAGAATTTTTATTATAATCACTGACTACCCGCGAAAGGTTCAGGACGTGGAGCAAGGCACCCTCTGAAGACGCCAGCGACTCCTCACCACACAGAAACCGGCCACCCCCGGCTCTGTCTCCAGAAAGAAATGAACTGGTGGGGTCGCGCACGCCGTGTGCGTACACGTGTGCTTCCACATGCGTCCATGCGAACCTGCCAGGTGCTGCCCTTGTCTCAGGAGGCCATCGCGTGAGGAGCCGGCACCCGGGACCTCATGGCCCTCATAAGCCAGCCTCGGCTATGCCTCTCCCTCTCAAGGGAGTTTCTATAGGCATCTGCGCCAGAAGCTCCGCTTGTCTAGAAGGCCTGCGCCAAAAAGCTCGCCGGCCAGGCCCTCTGCACGCTTCCGGAGAGGCGGGCACGGGGAGGATTAACGAAAAGGGGCGCTGCGACTTTAAGAGTCCCTTTGTCTCCGAAACATCCTTATTTACCCTCCTGTGATTCAACCAAACTTAGCCCCCCTTCCTCCCCCGCGATTCACAAAGCCTTCGGATGTCACAGCATCGGGGTGGAGCTAACGTTTTCCCCGGCTCCTCTTTTGAGAAACCCTCCTGCTCTAAGCCTTTGGGTTGCAGACTGTGGCTAGGATTTGTCAGGCTCCGCAAGTGCCGTAAATTAGTAGTTTGTGAAACGGAGAGAGTCCGCGTTGATTTCAGTTACGCAGTTGGAACAAACTGTTTTAAGAGAATCTTTTGATTCTCGATAAAGAGCATGCATCATCTGACGCGTCACTAGCGTAAATCACTGAGAGGTTCCCGCTTTTTCCTATTACGTAGATGACGCTAAGAAGAAAAGATCCGTCTAGGAAAACTCTTGGGAGCCCCCTTGCGCAGATAGCGCAAACGAGATAGCTGAATAGCGAGTATTCGTAAGGCGCCACAAGCCGGGGGTGGGAAGGAAAAAAATGTGTGGCGGACCATTTAGCCAATGGTAGGGCGGGGCGGGGAGAGATTGGCAGCCAATGGTAAGTGGGGGGGCGTGTCAGGGACCGGTTGGGGTGTCTCGCGCTTGGTGACAGCTCGCGCGTGCTGATGATGGCGGTAAATAAAGGGGCCAGAGGGGGGGCGGGGGTTTTACCCCCTTGGGGTTTAGACCCTAAATGAGGGGAAGTAAGAAATTTGCTTCTGGGATGGAGAGGAGCGCATCACGTGCGGCCCAGGGAGGCTGAGAGAAGAGGGGAGGTTGACCCCCGTATTGGGGTGGGAGGTTTGAGGGGGCTCCACCCCTTCGGGGCTCAAATTCCAAATTGGGGGGTGGAGGTTATGCTGCTCTAAGCCCCACCTTCTTATTTGGAGGAAATTTCAGCTACCCGTTTGGCCAGGCCGACAGAGGGGAAGAGGTCTTGACCCCTCCATAGTAGGGGGGGTCGAGGAAGAATTTCCTTGCAGGTCCGCAATAGGCGGTATGGGAGGTTATACACAACGAAGGGAGGGGGCAAAACCTCCTGTTGGGGGAAGGGGTGCACGAACCTTGCCCTATGCGAGGGTAAAAAGGGGCATCAACCCTAACAAGTGAAAAGGAGGATAGTTGTGACAGGATTTGCAGCCTGTGGCTGAACAAGCAAAGATATCAGCCAACAACTGCTTTTTTAAAATGCTCAAAACAGACTTCACCGAGATTGGAGAAGCAGGCTTTGGTGTCGCGAACAGCCGGAGAGCTCACAATATATATCAAACCCGTGTCGTTGGACAGGGAAGCCTGAGAGGGCTCAGATAGAGAAACAAAAAAGGTGCGTGGGGGGGGGGCGCTGACTCGGTAGCAATACAGAAATTAAAGTTGTGGGACCCTGGAAAAAGGCAGTTGTAAAGGGAGGAGGAATTAAGGAGTGGGATATTGTAATATAGTTACTGAAAGCTAAGACAAGGGACTGCACATTAATAGTTGTGAAATGAATAGGGCCCTCAGTGGATGCTGGGAAGCAGCAAGAGAGTTAGAAGAAGTAATTGCAGGGAAGACCGACCAGTGGTGATTGTGAAGAGAAATATCATATTGGGGCTCTTGGCATGGGCAGTGTAGAAGAGAGCTGGGATAGTGATGGGCAGCAGGGTGGTGCATGCTGGTGTTGCTAAGCTGCATGCCGTTCTTTGTTTGCGTGAAGTAGGATGCTTAGGTGGTTCATTTCAAGTGTGATGTTTCTAACTTCTTTTCTCAGAGCATTGTGCTCTGAGAAAATCCTTGATCAAGTATCACTTAATCCCACAGCATTTTCTTCCCTCTGCTCTAAGTTAAGTCCATTAGTATGAAATTGGTTTGAGAGAAGGTATTGAGCCAAGGACCTTTTGAACTGGTTGTTGTTGTTGTTGTTGTTGTTGTTGTTGTTACAACTACATGCAAAATGGTGCTGGGGAAGTTGTTCCAAAGATGGAATCATATGATAGAACTTAAGGTGTCTTTGGAGTTAATGCAAATGAGGACACTCAGTCTTAAAGGATGTATCCAGCTTTTGTAATAACTCATTTGCAAATGCCATTTATTACACAGCAAATATACTGTTGAAGTCAGTGCTGTTGTACTGCCTTAACATGTAAAAGTAATGGAATGATGAAGATGATAATTTTCATGTAATGCTGTTGATACGACAGTCTCTTTTCTGTTACACATGTTACTCCATTAAAGTTAGAGTGATGTGCTTTCAGAGCATGTTTTTATTGAAAACTTCAGCACATGTGAAAGCTATCTAAACCTGTTGTTTTCTGAGAAGTTAACTATTTGTTTTGTTGGGTAGATATGATCTTGTAGTGGTAGCATATCACATAAGCAGCCTTTACATGTCCCTACATATGTAAAGATTGTTCTGTTGAGTTTGAGTTTCTTGTTATTTAAAATGTATTGGTTCTTTGATCTTTTAGAGAAGGAAGCAAGACTCTTTTGTTTATTTCATTTGAAGTTTTCCTCTTTTCTTTGCCTCTGCCCCCTCCCCATCGTTAATGGAAAAAGGGGTGGGGCTAAGCTTTAACTCATTTCTTGTTTAAATGATGTAGAAAATAATAGCAGAGGTGCCAAGTCAGGCAGATCTAGTGCTTTGTTTTGCTCTTCATTCTCTTGAAAAACCCAGTGCTTTTCTTTAATCACATTAAACCCAATATCAGTGTGAGAAAACAAAAGAAGTTTCTTTTTCCTTTCTATAAAAGAAATTTGAACTTCATACTAAACTGCTAGTTGGCATAAGCAAATATATTACATTAACAGAATTGAATAGGAATTGGTGGTATATGTGAAGCAAATTCTTAAATCTAGTTTGAAATGGACAGGTGGGAATTTCCATTCCTTCAATTAGTTTAGAAGGAAGGTAAGTAGAATGTAGGTAGGAAAATACATTATTTCTTCTAAAGAACTGAATATGGAAGAGCCACGTTTCTTTTGATACAGTACATTTTAAGATAGTGCTGTTTATCAGGCGCTACTAAGTATTAAGCAGGACAAATCAGGATGTCATGCCATTTTGTTTGTAGCAATAGAAAACATATAGAAATATCTCCTAAATCATGACTATTTTAGCTAATAGGTAGCAGAGTTTATGATTTTGTACATAACCATTTATATAAGGTTAGTCGGAAGAAAAATTGTAGTACATATTCTTTTTACAATTTCAGTTTTTTTTATATCCCTTTGCTACAAAGTGTATGCCAACTATTTTAATATACACAGGTTTTAACATAATGAAAATCTCTATGTCTTCTTTTGGAATTAATTATGGCTGTGATGAAGCGAGGGAAGAGTGAAATTCAAGCACAGATCATGGATTTTTAAAAGTTCCTACAGTGATAGTCTTAAAAAAATCCCTCTGTGAAATAGTTGGCTTTATGTGTTAATCTTTTGTATAATTGGCTAAGCTTTTGTCATGTCAAAGAAGCCTGGAGGATGGATAAGAAGTTAGGTGGAGGTGGAAGTTGGAGCTTGAGAAAAAAGACTAAAAACAAAGCAGGGCTAGTTTTCATGTTATAAGGGGCCTACAGGAAGAGATTGCTGGGAAACAAGATATTGGGCAGCAGGGAGTATAAAAATGAGTGGAAAAGGCATGGTGTCAAGAGAGTGAAGACTGGGACCGTCTCTGAAAAAGGTTAAACATTTTACTTGATGGGTGCACAAACTGTTAGGCTCCAAGAGGCATTTGCTGTTTTGGAGTTCAAGGACCACACACATGCATGCACATGCACACACACATCTCAGCAATCCTAAAATAGATGGCTCTTTTCTTGTTGCAAGCTGCAGTTGAGAAGACCGCAATCTTTATCAGGATTGCTTGGGTGGGAATTGGATTGGGGACGGGATACAAGTTATGCACTTGTCATATACAATCTAAGACTACACAAAATAAGTGTCAGGAGGAGGATACACCCATCAAGCCATTGGTTAAGCTGCCATGTCCTAATATTTTAGAGACATCTCGTATAGCAAAGATGATTAGAAGGAACTGAGTGCTATTGATGGAAATTTCCAAAAAGGCTAAATTTCTTACACTTGTTTTGAGTTTCCTCAGTGGTGTTCTGTCAACTTTTGGTGGTTGTGTTATTATGCGAAAAAAAGTAATATATGTGGAAATGTTTCATAAACATAGCTAATTTTTAGGTGCATACATTTCTTTGCATCCTGAATAACCAGGTTGGGATGTTGGCAAATGTACCTAAAGAGAGCATTCCAGGATAGGACTAACAACACCCAAGGGAGAAAAAAGGCTTTCCTCGCCTTTTAAAAGTGGCAATGGGGGAGGAGTGGAATCAGATGGCAGTACTGAGGAAGGCAATTTTCAGCTTACCCACCAATGCCATTTTCTTGAACTACATCCGCCCCCCGTTTGTTCTTTTGCCTTTGTATTCTCCAGAGGGATAATTCCAGCACCCGGTATAGTTTGGAATGGATGTCACCAATAGCAAAAGCTCTCCCTTGGTTTTCATTACATAGATACCACCTCATGTAGATGCTATTTTAACAAGCTTTGGCAAACTTGATGGTTTGAAACAGCCTTCTCCATTCTGGTGCACTCCAAATTTTGTACCACAATCTGCAGTGCTCCTAATTGGACATGTTAATTAGGGCTGCTGACTGTTGAAGTCCAAAACATCTGAGAAGCCCTTGATAAGGAAAGCTGATTTAAAAGTTCAGAGTGCGCAAAAGTAGAAAAATGAATGTGAACCAAAACCCAGCGTACTTGTATGAGCAGTAGTTTCCCCAGTATTCCCCAATCTAACTTTTGTTCATATAGGAAAGTCCATGGTTGGAGATACCACTGAATAGATAGGCACTGCAAATTTAATAAGGGGGTCCTTGTGCATTGGTTAATTTTTGACATCTGAAAATGAAATGAAAGTGATGGAGGAAAGGAAGAACTACTCATATTCCTTTGGTTATTTTTTAGTGGTACAGGCATACCTTGGAGATATTGTGGGTTTGGTTCCAGTGAATCTCACAATAAAGTGAGTCACACAGTTTTTTTCGTTTCCCAGTGCATAGCTTTCGACATGTCTTACGCACTAAACTTAATCATTTCTACCTTTTGATTTAAAATGAGAGATGTGTGACTCTTCCTTTCACTTGAACACTTCAAGGCCATTGTAGGGATATTAATGGGCCTAATTTCAATATTGCTGTGTCTCAGGGAATAGGGAGGCCTGAGGGGGAGAGAGAGACAGACAAGGAAATGGCTGGTCAGTGGAGCAGTCAGAACACACACAACACCTAATTGATTAAGTTTGATGTCTTATATGGGTGCAGTTTGTGGCACCCCCCCCCCAAATTACTGCAGTAATATCAAAGATCACTGATCCCAGATCACCATAGCAAATATAAAAATAATGAAAAAGTTTGAAATATTGTGAGAATTAACTAAAATGTGACACAGAGACATAAAGTGTGCAAATGCTTTTGGAAAAATGGTGCTGACAGACTTGCTCAATACAGGGTTGCCACAAACCTTTAATTTGTAAAAAACACATTATTTGTGAAGCACAAGAAAACAAAGTATGCCTGTATATGCAATACAAATTCAGCTTAATTGTAAACACTGACTGGCTGATCATCTTCTGGCTTCCCACAATTACTGGTTGAGCCTCTGTGATACTTACTGAAGTCTGGAGGAGAGTTGAATAAGCATGGAGATTAGTGGGGCCTGACAGGAAGGTTGAAAGGAAGTATGGAGGCCTGAATGTCATGGATTTGAGGACAAAAAAAGGGGGGGGGGGTCTGCAGAGGAAGCAGATGAAAGCAGGAAGGACAAGGCCTAGAAATGGAGGAATATAGTAAGAATGCTGATGGCTGGAGGTGGCAGGGAAAGAGTGCAGATGGATGCAGTAAGAATAAAAATGAAGGGGTGGGTGTTCCATGCACATGCACGGACACACAACCCCTTCAAAGCACCTGACAGGAGGAAGTGAGTTTCATATAAATCTGTGACCAGGTGCCAGCCTTGATAAAACAGGTGCTTGAAAAAAGCAGGTCTGCAGACTGCACATATACCCATACAATACAAATGTTGGAAGTATCAGTTGATGATTTTCTAGGAAAAAGAGGGCCTGTAGAAGACATAACCATATCAGCATCTTTCTCCAGTTGCGTCTCACTAAATGTATTGCCTCTCATGTTCATTTCAACAAATAATTCTCTTGTAACAAACATATTTAACAACTGTGCAATATATGATTATTTGCTAGATAGTGTTAATCTGTTACTGGTTTCTGGAGGTTGAGCAAAATTATGCTTGCCATATAGTACCTGAATTTTGTGAGGCATTTA